TCCTAGGGTTAAAGAGAATGTGATGTTAACAAGAAAGAAGCAAAACACTTTATTTAGAAGATTTATCAATATCTAAAGAAAGATGTCATTGCCACAGGATGGTTGTCAAGTGCTGTGCTGCTATCTTGTGGTAAGAATGATCAATTACTGCAGGCCCCACTGGGAGGCCATTCAGCCCACTGTGTTGGTGCTGCCTCTTGGGTAGAGTTATCCTAGTAGTTCCTCTTACCCCATAGGTGTGCAATTTTTTTACATCTTGAAGCTTTTTTTTAAACAAGTTCCCACTGAATCTGCTTCAATAGCCCTTTAAGGCAGAGGATTTCAGATTGTAATGACTCACTGCACTTAAAAAACATACTCCCTCCTGCATTAAGCAGCAGTTTTCCAGCTTTACCAATTGCCAGTTGATTATCTTTTTACATCATTGGGGAGGAGACTGAGGATGAGGGAGGGGGTGAGAGTGGGGGAGCGAGAGAGTATGAGGGAGAGGGAGAGAGTGAGGGAGGGGGAGTAGGAGGAGGATGGGAAGAGGAGGTGGGGGAGTGGGGTGAGGGGAGACAGTGTAAGGAGTACAAGGGAGGGAGAGTGTATGAGTTGAGAGTGAAAGGGAAGGGAGAGGGAGGAGTGAGAGCAAAGGGAGTGGGGACAGGAAGGGGAAAGTGTGTGAAGTGGTGGGGTGAGGGCAAGGGGAAAGTAGGAGGGGCTGAAGAGAGGGTTAGGTGAGGAGAGGGTGAGGATGAGTGGAGAGGGTGATTGGAGGGAGGAGTGTGGGGAGGGGGAGGGGAAGAGCGGAGAATGCAGACGCACTGGCACTGATGCAGGAAGTTCAGCAGGGACACCATCAGCCAGGTATGAAGCTAGCTTTGATTCTCGCTTTGTTGTCTAGAAGTAAACTACCTGCTGAGTGCCCTGCTGGCTCTGTAGTCTCAGATACTCTTCCCGCTGTTTGTTATGTTTCAGTTTCTCGCTGCTGCTGTGTGGTTGCTTGAGTTTTGGAGCAGCTGGAATTGCAATGCGGCTTTGCAGTGAGGAGCTGCTCCCAGTCTAGAACCAAGAGAAAACAGAATAAACATAGAGTCAGCACAGCCTCACCTCGACTGATAAAAGCAACAGTGTGGCCCATTCATTCTCTCTTCAAGACCTCACCCCAAACCCCAAAGCCCCCTTCCCAAATACCCCCTCCCCCCCAACTGAGCTGCCCCCAGAGATAGAGTCACAGAGTCATACAGCACAGAAACAGGCCCTTCGGCCCAACTCATCCAGGTTTCCTAATCTGAACTAGTCCCATGGCGTGCATATGGCCCATATACCTCTAAACCTTTCCTATCGATGTTCCTCTCCAAATATCTTTTAAATGTTGCAATTGTACCCGCCTCCACCACTTCCTCTGGCAACTTATTCTATATACACACCACCTTCTGTGTGAAATAGCTCCACCCCCACAAACAGGGGCAAGGAGTCTAGGGAAGGGGGGGAAGGGGTGGCTCAGTGAGTGTCAATTATTCCAGGCCCGACCCACATTACTGCCAGTGGGGAGCCTGGGTGTGGGACTCTCCCCACTACCCCCATCTCACTAATACTGCCCACATCCCTAGCAGCTCATCTCAGTCCCCCAAACACACACACACATATATTCTGGTCTCCCCTGAACACCCCTCCCATCTCCCTATTCCACTATCACCCACATTCCCCACCCTCCCCCTCGCCCTTCTGCCCCCATCTCCGCCCACTTTTACCTCCCTGAAAGCTGCCATTGTCCTCATGCCCCGATACCCCCATTCCCCTGGTCTACCACTGCCCCATCCCGACACCCACCACAAGCCCCTTGGTCTCCCTCATCCCCCTGGAACTCCCCCTTTCTCCTTGTCCTCCCCTTCTGCCTGGCTCCTATGTCCAGTGTGCCCACCCCTCCCAATCTCTGCCTGCCTCCGGGAAACAGGCTCCCGTATCTCCTGTTTCAGACGTTAACCAGGGAGCTGCTCCTTTCCAGAACTTGCAGGTTTTAGTTTAAATCTGTGTAAAATTAATCTTTCCCCTGGAATGTTAAACCACAGTCCCAGTGTGCCCGGTCAGAGCTGGGTGTGAATGGGGGGTTGTCTCTGATGGAGGGAACACTGACAGACCCAGGGGGACTCACTGTCAGGGTCTGCATTACCATCAGAAACCTAACCCACTGAAAATCCTCAGGGATCTTCACCCAGACAGTTCTGGTTTTCAAAGTACGGCCACTGCTGTTGTGTGGATGGCAGTGACTGCACAGCAAGATCCCACAAACACCGATGAGGCAAATCGCTGACTGAGCTGTTTACGATGACGAAGGCTGGTGTGGGGGGGGGGGTGACATCTGGTGACACCCCACCAGGAGGCAGCTCTTCCAAATAATGGAGTGATTGGGATTTCAGCTGAAGATGCTGCAAGGCTTTCAGTTATTAGGGATCTGAAGGACAACACTTGTGACAGTGCAGTGATCACTGGGGTCAGTGATTGGCTGTGTCTGTGTGCAGCCCAGGGCTCAGCCCTTCTCCTGAGACTGAAGTGAAACCCCTAAAGGCACCTTGTGTCCATGGAACCGAGACAGTGGTACACTGCAGCCTGGATGTGACATTAAATCTGCCCCTTTGCGGGGACAGAACAGATCCCAGAGCTGGGGAATTTTCACAGGGTGTTCTGGCCAATACTTGTTTCTCAAACAACAAGGAGCTACAAAAAAAAATGTCAACTCTTTCTGCATGGGTCTTGTCAGGAGAAGCACCAAAAAAAGTGCATGGGACATATTTTTAAAATTTGTTCAGGGGATGTGGTCTGGGCCAGCATTTATTATCCATCTCTAATTGCACCTTTAGCTGACTGGATTGCTAAGACCATTTCTGAGGGCAGTTATGAATCAACCACATTGCTGTGGGTCTGAAGTCAAGCATAGGCCAGACCAGGTAAGGACAGCAGATTTCCTTATATTAATGAACCAGATGGGTTTTAACAGCAACACTATTAGATTAGCTTTTTATTCCATACTTTCTTTGATTCTAGGAAAGATGTTGTTAAGCTTGAAGGAGTTCAGAAAAGCTTTACAAAGATGTTGCCAGGATTGAAGGGTTTGAGCTATAGGGGGAGGCTGAATAGACTGGGGTTATTTTTCCCAGGATCATTAGAGGTTGAGGGGTGACATTATAGAGGTTGATAAAATCATGAGGGGTATGGATAGAGTAAATAGCCAAGGCTCTGAGGAAGGGTCACTCGACCCGACACGTTAAATCTGATTTCTCTCCACGAATGCTGCCAGACCTGCTGAGCTTTTCCGGCAATTTCTGTTTTTATTTCTAATTTACAGCATCTGCAGTTCTTTCTGTTTTTATTTGAATAGCCAAGGTCTTTTTCCCGGGGTAGGGGGAGTCAAAACTAGAGGTCATAGGTTTAAGGTGGAGGGGAAAGATTTAAAAGGGACCTAAGGGACAACATTTTAACACAGAGGGTGGTGCATGTATGGAATGAGCTGCCAGAGGAAGTGGTGGGGGCTGGTACAATTACAACATTTAAAAGGCATCTGGATGAGTATGTGAAATAGGACGGTTTAGAGGGATATGGGCCAAATGCTGGCAAGTGGGACCAGGTCAGTTTAGGATATCTGGTCAGCACAGACAAGTTGGAAGGTTCTGTTTCCGTGCTGTACAGCTCAATGACTCCATGATCGAAATTTCACCATCTGCCCTGGTGGGATTTGAACCCACATCCCCAGAACATCAAACTGGAGCTTTGCATTGTTAATCCAATCATTATACCACTATGTAACCACCTCCCCATTGAGGCCATTACAATCCCCCTGGAGGAAAAGGAATCTATTCCTGATGCTGGAGGCGAACAAATTACCCATAGTCCAAAACCCAAACTGATAGGGAACTGTGGGACTTTATATTTGATCCAACATGAAACAGCATAGAGAGGAATAACCGAAAACTACGTGGAGTGCCACATCTGCTTGAAGCAGTGACAGCAACAATTTAGAAAATTCTTCAGCCCTCACACGTTAAAATATTACCAGCTCTGAATTAAATTCAGTCACCAATAACCCAAGGAAACAGGGGGAAAGAGAGAGAGAGGCATGCAAATGCTGGAATTAGAATCCAAAATGTCCAGTTGCAGACCCCAGGGCCTCACATCCCCATCTACTCAAACCCAGTCCAAAGGAACAAAAGAAACTTGTTTCTCATTGAACACTGAGCAGCAAGATATCCCACTCCTCACTATCACCCAAGATTAAGCACAGGTTCATCGAGTTACTGTTCAAACAGCTGTTTAACAGATTGACCTAACAAGCTCTAATCTCGCGAGTAAAAGTCGACATAGGCCTTTGAAGAACAGGCTGTAATTAATCTCTCAAAGACCAAAGAGTTGAGGAAATCAGAAAATAATTTACATCAAGACACATTTTCTTCCAATCAGAGGGAGTAGATGCAGAAACAACATTGGAATGACGTGCAGCTATTCCTCCCTTTCTGGGATATAGTAAAGGCTGGAAAACAGCAGCGCTGTTTGGCAGCTGGACCCTGGGAATGTTTGGTCATTTCTGCATCATTAAAATCTGTCACAGCTGCAGTTTGTGTTCAGTGTTAACGGGGTGTTGCCTCCATGTTTCTGTTAGGATCTATAATCCAAATATGCAACAACAAGGGTGTTACTGTGAGACTAGTCATTGTTTTATCCCAGGTGATGTAAATTATGTTTATTTTGAACCACCCCACTTCAAAAAAATGTTGTCAATTCTATCCATCCCCATGAAGACAAAGCCCCTTTAAACTGTTCAGCCAGAATAAACTGCCAGACAAGGAAAGCACTGAATTCAAAGGCCCCTGAAAAATGCAACTTTAAAAAGATTAACAGCACCCAACAAGATACTTTTAATCAGCTTTCCAACAGCATCAGTGGAAGTGAACAGATTCAGACAGATCTAGGATTAAGAGAGGAATCAGTTTAATCATCATCTTTTACTCAGACATGTACAGGATTCTGAAGGAATCAGAGAGAAACTAAATCTAAATTTGGGAAAAATAAAAGTAGCAAGTCACCCAAGCTTTGCAGGCAGAGCAGACAGTTTAAGAAATGAGAGCAGTGGATTGTGATAGGATTCACTGTGAACTGGATGATTGTGTGTGTCAAACAGCCAGGAGACAACAGGAGAGGATCGAGCCGAGAGTGAGGCCCAGAGGAAGCAGTGGGCGAAGTTTGCAAGGTAAAGATATGAAACTGGAACCTTTACTTCTGCCGGTGGGAGCTGGGGCTTTGGGAGCAGGGGCGGTTTGACTCTCGAACTTGGAGACGTGCTCCTTGTCGAGCTGGATGGTTGGTCCATCAGGTATGGCACATCTTCTTCCATTTCGAGCGCATCAGGCTGGTAAGCAGCAGGGCACATGCTGGACTCATCCATCAGCTGTTCTCTGGGCTCACTGACACTGGGGCCACTGAGCAATTCTCTGGTAAATATGAAGTCACTGCTTGGATCTCGGCTGATTTGGGTGATGGTCGACTCCAGTTCTCTGATGGTTTCCTCTAGACTGTCCATTGTTTTGTAAGTACTGTTTTTGATTTCCTCTGTTCTGGCAAAGGCTGTGCTTGTGTTTTGTGTTTTTGACGATCTGCCCTTGTTCTGCTCGATCTGGTTGAGCTCGTACTTCTTCACCTCCATTTGTTTTTCACCTGTTACTTTGTCTATCTTTTCCTCCTCTTCATAAACAACCACTTGCAAGGTTTTCCATCCAGTTTTTGATCCTGACTCGATGGCTTTTGTCAATGCGTTCAGCCGTTGCTTGGGAAACCGAATCTTAACATTCTTTGAGTTGCCATTTCTCCATTCTTCAGCCTCCGAAGATGTAACATTTGGAACGGAATGCAAAGGTTTCTCTTCTGAAGCTGTGTTATTATCATGTTTCAGATCTCCTTCTGACTCACTCACAGGTGTACAGTCAGTTGATTCTGACTTGGAAGCCTCATCGACTCCTTCAGAAACAGCATTCAACATCAAAGATGCCATTTGCTCCTCAAATGGGATTGAAAACGTTTGTGTTTCTTGACTGGAGTCTTTTCCTCTCAACACTGTTTGAAATTCTTCATCATATTCTTCAAATACAGTCGATAACCTCTTGTAAGCTGTTTTGATGTCCATGGGTTCTTCAAATATGACAACAACTGGCTTACTGTCCAACGAGGCAAGGGATGCTTTTTCCTCCACTTGAGCTTGTGAAGGGTCCAGAGATGGATCTTCAGAGTTTTTGTCGTTTGCTGAAGAAACACTCCAGGTGTGTATATCCTCACCTTTCTCACTCACAATTTCCTGGACTTCCCTTTGGGATAAGGCTTGGATCTGGTTCTCTGTTATTATGAAAGCCACATTTTCTTCAGCATCTCCAATGCAGGATGCGTCCTCAGTGCAATCCATGGAAATCTCAGCTGTAGGGTTTTCCAGAATCTCTTCTGGGATTTCTTTCGCCTTGGAGTTTTCCTCATCCAGAGGAGGGGATTGGGATTGAGTGTGGTCAGGTTGTGTCAGGGCAGCTTCTATCATCATGAACTCTTCCAACACAATTGTAGATGGTACAAACTGTGTCCAGGCCTCAGAACCGGACACAGCCAGGTGACCCTGTGGCGGTATAGAGCCTAAGTCTCTTCTGGCTATTTCTCCATTCTCCATGTTGCAGTCACCTGCCTTTTGATGTGTGTCTGTTGATGCTGTTCCCTCAGCAGACACTTGCTCCGTCACTTCAACAGCATCAGTACAAGAACCAGATGTCAGCTCAGTGAACACAATCTGAGAGAGCTGTAATGGGCTGGGGGAGCATGGGACATCTATTTCCTACAAATGCAAACGTGGATAACACACAAAGAAGTAAATGAATAGCAAATAATTAATTCCCAGTAATTACCCTGAGCTTCTGCATTCACAGCTGTGATGGTATACAGTGCTAGCCCCATTAACAACATTCCATGGAAGGGAGATCAATGATAGTTAATTGAAGTCTGCAGGTAATCAAATATCTCCAAATGAACAGTCACAAAAATCTGGTAAACAATGAAACTGAGAAGAAATGTACAAACTAGACAAAAAAAACTGAAAGAAAATCCAATGAGATTAATTGCATCAAATTATGGAATATTGAAGCAAAACCTTACGAAACACTTTATTCTGCAACAATTCTAACTTGGTAACTGGAAGGCAGATAAATCAGCTGACAGTGAAAGGAATTTAATTTTTCTCTTTTTCAGAACGGCGCTGTTTCCTTCCCCATAAAATGTCCTGGTGGAAAATGGCTGGTTGACAGTGTTGAGCCGATTGGAGTCGAGTCTGGTATTGAGGAGGGAGGGATCACTAAATCGATTAAACATTTTTCCCAGAGCTCCAGGGAAAGGGCTCTCTGACATTTTGGAGGGGCTCAGTGGGATTGGCAAAGAGTATGGGAAGCAGCTTCCAATTCTTCTCAAGCAGGGCTCTATATCTCCCTCGAGGGGTTTTCTCGAAGTTCAGGAACTACAGCCTGCAGGGATTAAAAACCAAACTCTACCTAAAATGCAGGCTCAACGTTTCTTCAAATATTTCAGTGACCAACCCAACCCTCCCCCTGGAGAGCTGCTGTTCTCTGGCTTACCTCCATTCAAACTAGAGTGGGCAGATTAGAGATCAAGTGATTTGGTCTGAACTCGTCCGACCCACCTCTCAATGTCTGTTTTTGTGGGGTACGGGTTATCACTGTTTTCCCCAGTTCTCTACATGCCATTCCGTAATCTTTGTGCACCTCCCGTTCTGGCCTCTATTTCTACATTGGCTGTGCCTTCAGCTGCTTGGGTCCTGAGTTCTGGTATTCTCTTCTTAACCCTCTCTGTCTTTCTACCTCTGTTTCTCCTCCTTTTAAGATGTTCCTTAAAACCTTACCAATTGGTGCAAGTTTTTGGCCAATTTCCCCGGAACTCCTCCTGTGAATTTGGTGTTGCATATTGCTCTTGGGAAGCACCTAGGGGATGCTCTACCAAGGTGCTATATGAATGCAAATCATTGTTGTTGCATGAGAATTTCACTCTCCATTCTAAATGCTTCCTAATCACTTCTCTGGAAATGCAACAGAGA